ATACTTCACTCAGCATCATGTCCTCCAGGGTCACCCATTTTGAATAATATTGCATGAGTTCCTTGTTTTTCAATGCAGCATAGTATTCCATTGTGTGAGTATACCAGAGCTTCTCTATCCATTCCTTTGTTGATGAGCACTTAGGTTGTTTTCAACTCCTTGCTATTGTGAACAAAGCCACAATAAACATGGGTGTGCATATATCTGCTTGGGTGGTAGTTATTGACCTTTAGGGTATATTCCCAGTAGTGGAATTGCTGGGTCAAATGGTATCTCTATTTGCAACTTTTTGAGAACGCTCCTTACAGCCTTCCATAGTGGTTGCACCATTTTACACTCCCACCAACAGTGAATAAGGGTTCCAGTTTCTCCACAACCGCGCCAGCATTTGTTGTTCTGTTAAATTTTGCTATTCTGACTGGGGTGAGATGATATCTCATAGTTGTTTTGTGGTGTTAACTTTTATCAGAAGTTGTTTGCTATTACTTATTTTCCCTGAAAGTCTTAATTTCTATTCATAGCATAATGTATTGGTTCCTGTGGAAATAATTGTCTAAAATGGGATTCAAGGAAGAATATGAAGCTAAGACCTAGTTTTTGTAGGAATATTTCTAATAATATATACAGTTGTGGGGAAATGAAGTTATTAGTGAAATAACTAATAATCATTCTTTGTGATTTTTTGCTATGATTGTGTACCAGTCAGAATTGACCCCTAGATGACCCCTCCAGAAAGTTTTCAGAGGTAGTAAATCACTCAGGAGGAGAGAGCCCATCTTTCTCTTGCAGAGCAGGTCATGGATTCGAACCTTGCCTTTAGATTGGCAGTGTAATTCCTTACCAGTAAGCCATGATATTACTGACTTCCCCCTTCATTTTCTTTAGTACATTGACTCTCCAGATGTGGAAAAGGAAGTGAAGAGACTGCTGTGTTCAGATGCTGAAGCTGTTAGTGCTCGTATCCTTTTGTGCCATTTATTTTCTGGCCCAGTTTGTATGCATTTTCTGACCAGCCCTCACTTTTGATATTTACATGCCATTTTGATGTATCCATCTTAAGCTTATAGAAATATAACTTGCTAGCTATGGACAGTAAATTCACACTGTGAATTCATTTAGTTGAACAGTTCAACATGAGGCATTTCCCCAAAGCAAGAATCCAAGTGAAATGGCATTGAGTTGGACTAAAATGTCTCTTCCCTTTCGACTGTCATCTTTTCTTCTGCATTTCCTTTAATTCACCCTCCTTTCAGGATGGGAAGTCGTTGATGAAGATGATGCCAAAGAAAGCCAAGGCTACATTTCAGACTTTGAGTTTTCCCCAGAAATGATTGCCCACAAGCAGAATCATTTTTCATCAGGTAAAAAAGTAAAGCAGGCTCTTCAGAGCAAGAACGCTCTGACTATGCATAAGATCATTCTCCTTATGCATGGACTCACAGGCAAGTAACACAAAAAAATAGGAGGGTTTTCATCTTTCTGCACTCAGAGCTTTTTAGATGAGTGTTCTAATCTCACATCAATTTGTAGTATTTAAATACATGCAGAGAATATTAGAATGTTTCGTATTCCCTGTCCTTATTTTGTGAAGGAAATAACCTTCCTACAAGAAAAAAAAATAGTTCTAAAATTAATTGACTGCCTAGTAAATCTGATGGTAAGGAATATAATTATAGTGGGAATGGGAAGCATTTTAAAAGCTTCAGAGATTTCCACCTTCCTCTTACTTAAAACCAATACAATGATATTCTTTGGGAGGTGTTCACCGATTCTAACAGAACAGTGATGATTTTGATGAATAATATTACTCTGAGAAGTTTGAAGATGTTAAATAGGGAGAGAAGACTACAATAAGGATAAAGATGAAGAGGAAGGAGAATGAGGAGGAAGATGAGAACAAGGAGGAAGAAGATGATGAGAAGGATGTGCAAGAGGAGGAAGAAAGGGAAGGAGGAGGAGGAAGATGAAGAAGACTTTGAAGAGGATCTGGAATGGTAGCTACAAGCCAGGTTCACTGAATTAGGCCAGTATGAGGCAGAGGAAGGAATCAGTTCACAAGGTATGTCAGAGAAAAAAAAAAAGAAACAACAAAGAGATGGGCAGGTGGGTGGCACTTCTAAAGGTTAACTCTCAACATGCATTATATACAGGGTTAAGTTTGAGAAGTTATTGTTCATATGTGTGGTGGAGTTTTAGTTGATTTGGGTCTAAGTCTCTTATTTAGGTTGTATTTAGATACCAAAAGTTTCTATCTCTGTTAGCCATGGAAATTCAGAAGCAGATTTATTATGTGGAGAAGAAGCTTGGAAAGATTCAGGGAAAAGCAAAAAGACAAGAGGATCTTATCCAGAGAGTGGAGAACTTGACTCTCAAGGTTAGTTCTTATTGACTCATACAGAGAAACTCTGATATCTTACTTTCAAAGTAAGATATTTTTGTCCCACTCATGTCTTGTTCATTCATGAATGTAAACAACCTCTTAGAGACATTTCCCCCCAGTAGAAGTAAACCTTGTTTCCTTTTACATGAGTAATTTTGATAATCTTTTTTACAATTAATTTTTTTATTTCCAGTCATTCATTGTTGTACTTTTCTCCCCTCCCATCCCTCCTCCCCAGTACACTACCCTCTTGGAAAAGTAGAAGAAAGATTCTTTCATTGTTTTACAATCCCTCCCCCCAGGTCCACTCCACTATGCAGCCTTCGCTCTGGACTCCTGTCATGACAAAAATACCTAATCACATATCCCTCTTAAACAGTTTTCTCCCTCATCTGCTTCAATGCAGTATACATTATTTATCCCATCTTTTTCACTCTCCCCCCAATCCCGAGGTCTGTCCTGTTTTACAACAGTGGCACCATGCAGTATTTGTCCTTTTGTGACTGAGATACTTCACTCAGCATCATGTCCTCCAGGGTCACCCATTTTGAATAATATTGCATGAGTTCCTTATTTTTCAATGCAGCATAGTATTCCATTGTGTGAATATACAGGAGCTTCTCCACTCTTTTGTTGATGGGCGCTTAGGTTGTTTCCAACTCTTTGCTATTGTGGACAAAGCCACAATGAACATGGATGTGCATGTATCTGCTTGGGTGGCAGTTATGGTGTCTTTGGGGTATACACCCAGTAGTGGAATTTGTGGGTAAAATTTCTGACTTTTTGAGAATGCTCCATACTGCCTTCCACAGTGGTTGCACCATTTTACACTCCCACTGACAGTAAATAAGGGTTCCGGTTTCTCCACAACCTAGCGAGCATTTGTTGTTTGCTGCTCTGTTGAATTTTGCTGTTCTCACTGGGGTGAGATTATACCTCATAGTTTTTTTGATTTGCATCTCTCTTAGAGGTAGGGATTTTGAACATTTCTTCATGTGCTTGTTTGCCATCTGAATGTCATCTTTGGTGAAGTGTCTGTTCATATCCTATGCCCATTTTTCATTTGGGTTGTTTACCTTTATCTTGTTGTGGTGCTCAAGTATTTTATAAATTCTAGATATAAGTCCCTTATCAGACATGTCATTACCAAATATTTTTTTTTCTCTGTCTGTGGCTTCTCTTTTTACCCTGTTGGAGAAGTTTTTGAATGTACGTAGGGATTTGATTCTTAGAAGGTCCCATTCATCTATTTTATCCTCTCCTCGTGGTTTTTCAGGATGCTTGGAAGACTGTTTATGTTGTGGATTAGTGCTTCTAGAGTTATTCCAAGCTTTTCTCTAATGAAGTTTATATTCCTTGGTTTTACTCCTAGGTCCTTGATCCACTTTTAGTTGGTTTTTGTGTATGGTGTGAGGTGGGGTCTTGTTTGAGTTTTCTGCAGATGTTTTTTTTTTCAATTTTGTTACCTTTGTTAAAAGGGCTGTTGTTTCCCCGCTTAACTATAATACAATTTTGAACAAGAATAAATAGCTTGGCTTTATTTTTATACATGAATGTTTAAAAACCTCAACTAAAGAAAACCTAAGCAAGGAAAATGTTACGTAAAGTCCTTTTAGTCCCCAGTTTCTAATTATCTCTTTTTAAAAATTTATACTAGTTTATTTACAAAATTTCAATACATTGTTTTTCAGACCAGATTCTTCCAGTTTCCCTAACCTCCCCATCAAATTGTACAACCACATGATTAATCCTCCACCCCGCCCCCCCCCCCGCATGTATTCATCTTTCTTCTTTCACCCCCTCTTGGATCTTCATACTCATTCTACAATAATAGTTTTATACAATATTTATCCTTGTGAGACTGAGTTAGTTGACTCAGCATAATACTCTCAAGTCCCTCCCAAGTTAGGTAAAAATTTGCAAAATCATTGCTCCTGCATGCTATGTAGTATTCCATTGTATGAATGTACCATACTTTCTTAATCCATTTGATTGTGGTTGGACATCTGAGTCATTTTCATGCTCTTGTGATGGTGAATAACACTGCTGTGAACATTGGTGTACAAGTCTTTGTGCCTCAGTTCTCATTTTCTCAAGGAATATTCCAGGCAGTGGAATAGCTAGCTCATATGGAATATCTATGGTCAGCTTTTTGAGGAAGTGCCAAACTGCCCTCCAGAGTACCATTGTACAATCCCACCAACAATGTCTTAGATCCTATCTCTCCACATCCTCTCCAACATTTATTACTTTCTGTCCTGTTAAACTTTGCCATTGCTACTGGAGTGAGATGGTATCTCGTTGTGATTTTGATTTGCATCTCTCTTATTGCCAGTGATTTGGAGCATTTTGTTATGTGTCTGCTGGCTATTCTAATATCTTCCTCTGTGAAAATTCTTTCCATGTCTTTTGACCATTTTGAAATTGGGTTATCAGTCTTTTTCTTGTGGAGGCCCAGGAGCATTCTGTAAACTTTCATTATGAGATTCTTGTCTGAGATGGTATTACCAAATGTTTATTCCCAGCTGGTAGGTTCACATGAAGTCCTTTTAACCATTTGTTTTAGGGTCAATGAAAACATTGTAAGTGCTTTTAAATAAAATAAGATGGAGTTGTATTTAGGGGTATAGTTTTTATACTCCAAATATTTCTTTAGAAAGGAGTTATCTTTTTTTATAACTTGACTATATTTTTGTAGTAAATAATTTGCAAAGTTCTCTCTCTCTCTCTCTGACTCAGTAGTCATCATTTATACAATTTGTTTTCCAGAACAGTTTGCAGTGTGTCCTAGAGAATCTTAAAATAGAAGAAAGTCAAAGATATGAGCAGGTAAAGAAGTATGTTTTAAAATCAAGCAGAGAATATTTGATAGAAAGAACCTCCCATACTATCCCCAGTTAATTTCTAGATATACTTCTTACAGAATTGGGTAGGGATAGTAGTGGTCAAATCTTTTAAATGGAGTAACAAGATGAAAGAAGATTTTGTGAAAATTCACTCATCCAACAAATATTGAATGCTCAATATGTGATGCAAAGGTTAATTGTTGGCCTGCTGAGAGGGAGGTAGCATATAGATTTCACAGGGTGACACTGTCAGAAGGAGTGACACCAAAACTTAGTGTGAGCTCCACTGTGTTCAGTGGGGCAAAAAGGCTATCCCAAGAGACTCATCTTCTAATTCTTAGAATATGGCTACAGTAAGCCCATTATCTCCTTTGCCCCTACAATAAGCTGAGTTCTCTGTACCCTCTTCCTAGAAACACAAACCTCCTTTTTTAAAAAGAAAAAAATTTGTTAATGAGCATCTTTTTTTAAAAAAAAGTAATTTTGTATTGGTTTGCATGCAAAATTCATATACATTGTGTTTCAAGCTTTCCTTCATTCACATTGTGTTTCATAGAATCATTCCCATATATTGTGTTTTATAAACTCAATGCCCATTACCCATTTCCCCCCCCCACCATTGGTAATGTCCACCATTACCCCTATTTTCCCCTCTTTTAAGATACCTGATGAATCTTTCCCATTTCCTTTACTACCCTCCGAATTATGCAATCCTATGATTTTTCCCCCTGCCCATCCCCACCAATCTGCTCACTCCCACGCCTTCCCCCCTTGAATCCCTGTGCACATTTTATTGGTTATCCTTCTATTTTTACAATAATGGTCTTATGTAGTGTTTGTCCTTATGAGACTGAGTTCACTCAGCATAATGTTATCCAGTTGCTCCCAAGTTATGTAGTAATTTTTGAGACGATTACTCTTGAGTGCTGCATAGTATTCCATTGTGTGAATGTACCACAATTTCTCAATCCTTTCAATTGTGGTTGAACATATGGGACACAAAACTCCTTTTGTAAGTTTGTCATAAGAAAGGACAACATCATTGTCATAGTAATGCTCTTTGGAACATTTTAAGACTAAGAGACCTTATAACTGCCAACTGATGATTATTTGTTGTTGTTTCCTATAAGTAAACTCTCTTCCAGGTGATAGAACTCAAGATTGTATATGAATTTTTCTGTTTGTCTGCATCTTCCTTACAGCTCATTTTTCTTCAGGAACAACTGAAATTTGTGTTCGACAAATGAGGAGAACACAGACCAGGAAGCAAACCCTGAACTTGCTGTCCGGACTGACTAAAATTGTGTCTGTTCCTCTGAACCTTCTTGCTAACTTGCTAATATATCCATAGTTTGTAGTCCGTGTAGACGAGTATAGAACATAAAATATAGTAGATATTAAGTCACAACTCAGCCATGAGATTTTTCTTCTTTTTATCAATTTGAAAATTTCTTTCGTTGTTTTTCTTCCATCTTGTCAGTAGAAGATTAAGCCAAGCTTTCCAAAGACCAAGAGTCTTACATAGAGGCCTCACAGCTAATTTGAATATGTTTTAGCTTTTCTCTTTCCTATCTAAGTATTTCTCTAGCATAGAAAAAAAAGCAAGTAATTTGTACTAAGAACTAGGACCTAGGGATGATTTCTTGTGACCGTGATTTTGTGAGTGTGGTTGATTGTTATTAGCCAGGTAAGGGAGCAGTGAGGTAGAGCAGAGATTAATTCTGAGTGGTTTTATCCTTCTGAGCTTTCACACCCTGACTGCCATCAGAAATGTTTTTAGAGACAACCAGACAGATGCCTGTGATACCTATGAACAACATTGCATGATTTTTTTTTAAAAAGCTGTATTACTAAATTGTCTGGTCTTTATCCTATAAACAATAAATTTTTTCTTTGTTTGAAATGGATTGCTGTCACTTTGATTAACTGCCCCATGAAAAGAGCACTTCTGTATAAAAGGAAATTCACTCAACAAACCATAAACTCTACATTTAAGAAATGTTTTCAGAGGCAATAAATCAATCACATGGGAGGACAATGCCTATCCTTTCTACTTAGAGCAGCTGGTGGATTAGATGCCTTTGGGACTGCAGTGCAGCTTCTTACTATTAGGCTATTTCTTGTTGTGTACCGTAGAGTTGGAACCAACCCATAGCTGACCCTCTGGCAGGTTTTCAGAGGCAGTTATTATCACAGGAGAAGATTGCTCATCCTTCTTTCATTGCACTATATTTCTGCTGTTGTAGATTGGTGAGAAATTAAAAACTGGTGATAGAAAAGAGTGAAAAGCAACTGACAGGTCTTTGTTTTAGCCAGAGAATAGCATTACAAATTATCACTATCAATTCGTAAGGACATATTCTTTCTCTCTCTCTCTCTCTCACACACACACACACACACACACACACACTCACTCACATCCATACTCTCAGAATAAAGGATAGACTTTTATATTGAATAATGTAACTTTAAGGAAAAATTTACTTCATTATTTTCATTTTTCTCATATTGCTTCAGATTGGTGAGAAATTCCTTAGATTGACAAAAGCATACTTTACCGCACAAGGTTCATTCCATGAGGGGGTAACTAGCTAATTGGTACAGGGCCTTGAAAGTCACCCAATCCAGATAACATTGGCAGATGGGACAAGTGGGAGCGCCATTATTGTCCCTTAGGCATTGACCTTATCTGATCCCTTAGGTATTGGCCTCAGCTACCCTCTCTTCACACTCCCAAGTAAAGGAAGGAAGTGGGATATCAGAGTCAAAGAGTGTAACCAGAGGAACTGAAGTAAACAAATACAAATTTATTCTTTTCAAAGCAGAATTAAAGGGGAAGGGAGAAAGCACCACTGTGAGTGGCAATCAAAGTTAATCAGTTTGCTCCCAGCCCCTTCCCTTTGTCCCAAACTGTCCTAGACTTGCTTGCCACCCTTACCATCTCCCCTGAGTCCCTTCCCCAACTCTTATTCTTATGTCCAGTTCTGGCCACCAGCAAGCAGCATAGCAGGTTTTAGGCTGGCCTCAATACTGTCCTGGAGTCAGCAGGGACATTCAGCAAGTCCTTTCCTGTGGGAGGAAGTGGAGGCTGGGAATTGGGCCCTGACCTTGAGCTTTTTCTTCTCTTATATAACTGGTATGAAAAGAGTAGAAAGTAACTGAAATACTTTGTTTCCAGGGCTGTATTTTGGCCAGAAGGCCCAAAGATAAAGCTGTCCAGTGGAGATGCAAAACTCTCTACAGCCTTAGAGCAGGGCCCCCAGTTTCTCTCCCAGACTTCTTAAGGCAGCTACTTTTTGGTTATATGTTACCTATACCAAGGAAAATCTGATGGTATTCTGGGGTGAGAAAATGGTCCCAGAGGCCATGTCTCTGCCATTGAGAATTTGAGTTCGAAGAATGTAATCAACTATAGCTTTATACAGAGCCCAAGCCCCAAGAACATGCCACAAGCACCCCAGGAATTTTAAAAAAACTGAATTTAGATGGAAAATATCTCCCAGAATTTGCCTCTGCCTAGCTCCAGGATCTTTTTTTTTAAACTGTGGCCTGTCAGTCCAGTCCTCAAAGGACCAGAAATTCAAAGAGATTTTTCTGGAAGAAAGTATTTTTGAAGTTTGAATCTTTTTTTTTTTTTTTTTTTTTTTTTTTTTTTTTTTTAGAGACAGGGTCTCGCTATATTGCCCAGGCTGGAGTGCAGTGGCTATTCACAGGCGCGATCCCACTACTGATCAGCACGGGGGTTTTGACCTGCTCCGTTTCCGACCTGGGCCGGTTCACCCCTCCTTAGGCAACCTGGTGGTCCCCCGCTCCCGGGAGGTCACCATATTGATGCCGAACTTAGTGCGGACACCCGATCGGCATAGCGCACTACAGCCCAAAACTCCTGGACTCAAAGCGATCCTCCAGCCTCAGCCTCCCGAGTAGCTGGGACTACAGGCGCGCGCCACCACGCCCGGCTGAACTTTGAATCTTGAAAGAAATGGGCACTTGAGAGCTAGAAGCTTTGATTTCAATCTCCTCATTCTGAGGAAATGGCACATGTGTTCTTAAATAGGATCTTTCTTAGGGAACAATAGCACAGCCTGATGTACTACTACTCTAGTCTGTCAGCTTTTCCTGTCATTTTCACAGTCAACATGATTCCATGCTGCACTAGCCGGGAACAGGCCCACCCTCATAATTATTTTTTTTTTATTCCTATTAGAGTCAACCAAGTCTAAATCATCTGTCAGTCATAACTGTTCACTGGTATTATTTGCCAACAACCCAAGCAAACATTCACATTCTTGATCACATATACTAATCCTACAATCCCTTAGGCTACCCTACCCAGAATCCCCTACCACCATTCTTCTAGTACAGGGCAATGAACTACATAGCATCACATACAACACCTAAAGGAGATAGAATACACAACAGATGCTTAACAACATACAACACACTTTAGTAAATCCAATTCAAATTTGGATTTACAGTGCCTGAAAATCTATTTGCCTGCAATCACTGAACCACGGAGCAATATACTCAGCCCAAGTATTAAAGTAGACATAGGGCCATAAAGTCTTGGTGGTCTCTTTAGTAAAAATTCAACCTACTTTTTCAGTATACCTACAGCACAAATCCTACATCGTTTTCAGTCCACCCACAGCACAAAATCGACATCTTTTCTACCGTGCTTGGCCCACTTCAGTTGCCAGCTGCCCAAAATCTCTGGGGTTGAATGCGGGATTTGGAAAATATTTTCTAGGACTTTCCTGGGACAAGAATCTTCTTGTCTGCCTTTCTGAGGATTGGGTAGGTACATGCTTCAAAGTTCTGGAGCCCTCTATCCTTCAGCAAATGTCCCCTGTCCCACTCCTGATCACATTATAGGCCTAACAAACATATTCCACCCTGTATGATGCTCTGGCTGTTTTTCCATGCCTCCCTATCACCTGCTTGCCATGCATCTAGATACTAAGACTCATCAAGAGGTCATCAAGAGATCTCGTGAGCTCCAGCAGATGATGTGATAGAAAGTCTGCTACCCTGGACTTATTGCTTAATGGCAATCTAGGAGGAGACAATTCTAGACCTCTGGACCTCCCAAGGAGCAGACAAGTCTAGGTTGTCAAGTATTCTAACTAGTGGTCCATTATTTCATTATAATATAACACCCCACTCATTTAACATTCTCCTGACCTTGGTGCCTCTGCTTACTTTAAGGCTCCGAGGCAGACTTTAGAATAGGCTAAATAATGTAGTACTCTATTTTAGCCTGGCAAAGGCTAAAATTGGCAGTACTTGTCCATTCTATTCTGCATGGAGTGGGCAGAGTTTTGGTGTGATCTATTTTGACATCAGAATCATTGTTCAGGGAAGTCCAGGAAAAGATAGCCAAGGTCCAGGTCTCAAGGGAATAAGACTTGGAAAAGAGTAAAGAGAAAAACAAACTTTCCTGCTAGGTTCCTGGTATGTGGCCATAGGCTTGTTACTTTGGTCTTAGAATAGCTCACCTCAAACACCATGGAGAGATACAAACTAGAAGAATATTACTGAATGGAGTTTCCCAAGATATATCTACCTGTCCAACCAGAGGCTGAGACTAACAAAGAGCAAAGCAGAATATCAATACTTCAAGAGGTACTAGAATTTAATGTGTGAATGAGGCCAGGAGAATATTGTTGCAAAGTAGAAACATAGAATATATATATATGTATATTAACCTAGGCAAATTAAGTCCATTGCAGGGCTCTGGGTTATAAAGCGCCTTTTGATACAAAGCCACTTAAGTGGGCTCTGAGTCTGTTCAAAGTTCTTACCTTTCTTCCCCATCTACTTTGAACAATTTTTGGATAAAGAGATTATAGTATATATTGTCAAAGAACAGTTAGTTCAGTTTGCAGAAAGGTTTACCTACCAGAGTTAGAAAAAACAGTTTTATTCAAAGGAAGGCCTTCTTGTTTGGATATCTCAGGGAAGTGGCCAGCATCCTGATTTGTGACCAATGACTCCTTGGAAGGGGCTGATACTCAGGATGGCTGATTGCCTTAACACCATATGATCAGCTGGAGTGGGTTGGAGTGGGAGGGGGCGGGTGGCAATCAGCCACCTCACTTGATTCAGGTTAAGGGAAATATGGGCCACAGTCTGCAAAGGAATTGGGTAGTCACACTCCTCCATGCTAGAGGGTGACTTCCTTTTTTTCACCTAGGGCAGGGAGAGCAAGGACCCCTTCTTGAGCAAGCTATCAGTTTTCCTACCC